TATATATATATATATATATACATGAATGTATCATACATAATTATGTACATAGGAATATTCACACAAACTATCCTGTGTATTTTGAACGCTCCGGATATATTCGTGTTAATGTATACATTTACACACGATTATCATCTAACTAGTCCTTCGCAGAGGTATTTGCGCTGATTGGCACTTTTCAACAAGATCCGCTCTTACCTGGATTTATCCGCCAAGTCACATATCTCTTCTGCTGGTCTGCATTGTTGCCGTCGTTGGCAGTAGGTTCAAAGTTGGCTACCACGCCACAGATGCAGCTACACAGAATACATAGTGTTATAAGTATATCAGTTACCTTCATCCTGCAGGATCTGGCTGACTTCACTCTATCGCTAAATAAACCTATAGTTTTAAGATAGCCACTTTTATATGTACACTGTATACTATTACTATTTAGTATTTACTGATTTGCAACCAGAGAAGACAGCTGTGTTTACTTTTAGATATGTAATGTGACATTCCTCCCCAAATGCCATAGTAATTGATTCGCTGATTGGTCAATTTAAAGTTTGAAACATCATTATTTGGGTTCAATTTATTTAATTGTTTCTAAAAAAATTCAAAAACAAAACAAAACACGGGGTGTACAACTGTAAATACATACACAAAACACTACATACATAAATAAATACATATGTATTGATACACAAATGCCGCGCAACAATAATTGCTAGGTATAAACGCGAGGAATGACTGATGTCAGTGATATGGGGTACAGCAAGATGACATAGGGGTGAACAGTGCGAAGGAGCACACAGTAAAATGCGAGTTACGGGGAGTAACACGGGAATCAACACAGGCGTAGGTTTGCTGTAACTGTCGTAAACACAAGTCTCAAAGTGTTGTGCAATTTTCTAAGTTTTTGATGACTTGTGAGCTACGGTAAATATTCCAAGAGCCAAATTTGGAGAGCCATTCTTTGGATATTATATGTATTCCGGAGTCTCGATCGATTTATATATCTTCCAGAGGGGTATGTTACAATCCCCTCGTAGTCCACGATGGATGCTGGTAACACCCCCCCGCCAAAATGTCTAATACACATAAATACATACACACACACACA